GAGGACGAACGTGGGCGGGGGGAGGGGTGAGAAGTGTGGGGGGGGAAGAGGCCCGGAAAGGGGGGATGGATGGTGAGAAACGGGGAGGGGGGGAGGGACGGTGAGAAACGGGGGCCTGATCAATGTTTTTCTGTTTTTTTTTTTGAGAAATAGGCAGACGAATAGGGGGGGCAAAGAAGGCGGACGGATAAGGGGGGATGAAGGAGAGCAGACGTGGGGCATGTAGGGGTAAAAGGGTGGTGGTGGGGGGTACAATGGCTAACGGGGTAATGGAGTGGAGCGGGGGGTCTGAAAGGGAAGGAGGGGAGGGGGTGCAGAAGGGAAGGAGAGGACAGGTTGTGGAAGGCAAAGGGGGAGAGGGTGCAGACAGGAAATACTTCAGGGTGGGGATGGGTGGTTGGGAAGCAAAGAAGGGAAGGGGGAGAGTGCACAATGGAAGGAGGGAAGAGCCTGCAGAAGATAAGGGAAGCGGTTCAGCAAGGGAAGGAGGGAAGGAGGAGAAGTTGCAGGAGGGATGGAAGGTAGGTGGCACAAATGGTAAGCAAGGGATGGATGTGAAGGAAAGTTGGGAAGGCGTATAGAAAGGGAGGGGACGGGGTGCACAAGGGAAAGAGGGGAAGGGCACGGTCGAGGGAAGAAGGAAAAGAGGGTAGGGGTTGTGAACGAGAAATGGCCAGGGGAATGATGTTTTTGGTTTCTTTAGTTTTTTTTGCTTTCTGAATGCAGAGGGGGAGAGGACGAACGTGGGCGGGGGGAGGGGTGAGAAGAGTGGGGGGAAAAGAGGGCCGGAAGGGGGGGATGGATGGTGAGAAACGGGGGCCTGATCAATGTTTTTTTGTTTGTTTTGTTTGAGAAACAGGCGGACGAATAACGGGGGCAACGAAGGCGGATGGATAGGAGGGGATGAAGAGGAGCGGACGGATATGGGGGGATGTAGGGGGAAAAGGGTGGCGGGGGAGGGTACAATGGCGAACGGGGTAATGGAGTGGAGCGGGGGGTCTGAAAGGGAAGGAGGGGAGGGGGTGCAGAATGGAAGGAGAGGACCGGTTGTGGAAGGAAAAGAGGGAGAGAGTGCAGACAGGAAATACTTCAGCGTGGGGAAGGGGTTTTGGGAAGCAAAGAAGAGAAGGGGGAGAGTGCACAATGGAAGGAGGGGAGAGCCTTCAGAAGATAAGGGAAGCGGTTCAGCAAGGGAAGGAGGGAAGGAGGAGAAGGTGCGGGAGCGTCAGGATGATTCGGTAGGTGGCACAAATGGTAAGCAAGGGATGGATGTGAAGGAAAGTTGGGAAGGCGTANGAAGGTGCGGGAGCGTCAGGATGATTCGGTAGGTGGCACAAATGGTAAGCAAGGGATGGATGTGAAGGAAAGTTGGGAAGGCGTACAGAAAGGGAGGGGACGGGGTGCGCAAGGGAAAGAGGGGATACTATACTGTCTATTCTACGCTACTATACTCCTCTGTAGTTTACTCAGGCTATGTCTTTATTCGGGCGTACAGGGGGATAATGTTTCGTCTCAAAGACCTAAAGGCAAAAACACAACTGTTTCTCAAAGACCTGACGGGGGCGGAGCTACGCTGGCGACTCTTATATACGATTAATTGTGTAGTTCAGCAAGTATCACCGGTGTAAAGAAACTTTATGGATTGTTTCTGAGGGATTCCTTGTGTTGTTTAGTTGTTTTTGTTTGTGCAGGTCATTGAGGTGCTTGGTCCACTTCATAAGCAATATAGGCTTGAGCAGGTGACTCAGCAACAACAAATCATCAGCCAAAAGTTATCACATTTACCTGGTCATTGGACGGACTGGCTGGGCAGGTATGACAGGCTCGGTGCACCATTTTTTTCTCTGCAAAAACCGATGGGAAGTATGCGAAGGACATCATCAAGGTTTTTGAAGTTGCATGTCAGCCCTGTACCTTTAGAGTTTACACAAATTGCAGCCCAAAATTGAGGATTAACAAAGGGGAGCAGATGGACATCGGCAAGTGGTGATGGTGACAGCGGCGGTTACGAATGGGGTGGGTGTGAAGAGAGGGAAGGAATGGCTGGTAGATGGGATTTATGAACGTGTTTGGAGGGCGAGGTAATAGGTAATATGGATGAATGGGGAAGGGAGTGAGGTTAAGGTAGAGTTGATTGATTTGGTGATAGGTATGGGAAAAGATCTAGCGAATGACATTTTCAAGGTTTTAGATGGTGGCATGACAGTCGTGTTCCTTTGGAGCCTTGTGTAAATTGTAGCCCAAAATTGGGGAGTAACTAAGGGGAGCAGATGACCATCGGAAGGTATTGATGGTGGCAATGGCGGATAGGGTGGATGTGGAGGGCAGCAGGTGGCCTCGTTTTTTGTGGCATGTTGGGAACTGTTATGGATTGGATATGAGACAGGGGATAAATAAATAAATAGATGTATAGATAGATAGAAAGATAGATAGATAGATATATAGATACATAGACATGTAGATATATAGATATATACATACATTGATAGAAGTGTGCAAAGAGGCCAATCTTTGATTTTTTTGGTTTGGTAGTATGGATGCACATGGAATGTGAAAGGCACGGATTTCTTGTACACATTGCTCTGCTGAGTTTGCTAAGAGTTACATTTTGGTTCTCTTTGAGTTTAATAAACATTTTGGTTACTGTGTCAGACTATCATTTCTTCATTGATTTCTGGATGTGATCTACTCGGTTGTCACTCTGTGATTGGTTGTTGGGATTTCTGCAGAGAGAATTCATTGCCGTGTGTATTCTGTCACTTCGCATGTCTAAGTAGCTCAGAAAATGCAGGAAATGCAGGAACTGAAACTAACTCATATGGCTCCAGTACGTACCGAGCAACTAAAGCAACACCTATCAAACTGAAACTGAGACCAGATAGTTATCTCACTCGGCCATATGCAAGCCAAACCACAAAGGTAAGTACTCTCACCATCCCAAATTTATCTGAACAAACAATAGTTCATGATTTTTCTATGATTTAACCCCTTACACCCAGCTTACATAAGGCATAAGGTAAGGACACCCAAACTTATGGAATGTGCCTTACTTAGCTAGACATAAAGTCGGACCACCCAAACTTATAGAATGAGCCTAACTAAGCCAAAGCGTATACACAGAACAAAGGACACAACTACTTCTTTCTTCTTTGGGCATATCACTAGGTCATTCTAGTCGCTCTGAACTTGTTTAAATAGTCAATTTATATATATATATCTGAACTTAATCTTCAAGGTGGGCGTATGACTGAGCCATTCATCTTAGAAACAATGCTCAACCGGCCCAAGTTACCCTCAGTTATACTCTTAATTAATACTCTCTTCAGTTTGTGATAAGCTATAGTCAGACAACCCAAACTTATGGGACCCTGTCTGACTAGCTTGTTTATAGATACAATAGTCATAAGGTATAGCCAAATTATAACCTTTGGGTTCCAGCATGAGTTAGGCTTTGAGTCAGACCACCTGAACTTATAGAACAGTCTGACTCTCTGCCTGGTTCGTTCCTCTCTGATCCAATATGTGCGTAGCATTAAGATAGACCACCTAAACTCATAGAATGGTCTGTCCTCTGTCAAGTTCATTTCCCTAAAATAAACCAAGAAGAGACTGAGCCACCTAAACTTATAGAATGGCTCAGACCTCCTCATTCAGAACCAAATAAACAAAGGAAAACCCAAAATAAACAAGGCAACCAAAACACCTGAACTTACAGAATGCACTTGGCCCCTGAAGAAGTCAAACAATTAGCCTTCACAAGTCAGAGCAACCAGACCACCTAAACTTATAGAATGATCACAAGCGGTTATGGGGTACCTGAAAATTCAAGAATGAAATTTCTGAAATGGAAAAAAGCGTGGTATTTTTTTTATCCTGAAATTGAAAGGCCACATAATGAAAAATGTTACTTAGATCATGAATTCGGGAGGAGGGCAGGGTCGTTCATGGTCGTTCATGGTGAAACCCCATATGTAAAAAAATAGTCTTGAAACGTATATGTCAATTTTCACCTATTCGAAGAGTTCGCTGATTTTTCACCTACCCGAAGACTTCGCTGATTTTCACCTATCAGAAAACTTCGCTGAGTTTGCAAAGTCCAACTGAAATCATGATCTGAAAACTGCTTGAAACTTCACTAATTTTCAGCTATCTGAAAACTTTGCTGATTCTCATCTGCCCGAAGACTTCGCCGATTTTCACCTACCCGAAAACTTCGTTGATTTTCAGCTACCCGAAAACTTCGGCTAACTGAAAAGTGCTTTAAACTTCACCTACCTGAAGACTTCGCTGATTGTCACCTACTCGAAGACTTCGCTGATTGTCACCTACCCAAAGACTTCGCTGATTGTCACCTACCCGAAGACTTCGCTGATTTTCACCTACCCGAAGACTTCGGCTAACTGAAAAGTGATTTTCACCTACCAGAAAACTTCGCTGAGTTCGCAAAGTCCAACTGAAATCATGAACTGAAAACTGCTTGGAACTTCACTATCTGAGAAATCATTTAAGTTTTTAGGTCATTCATCACTTCAGATTGATTCAGGATTTTTAGGGCATTCATCACTTCAGATTGCTTTAGGAGTTTCGGGTACCCATAAGGGTTGTTTTCATGATTTTCAAGGCATTCATTACTTCAGCGGGTAGCCTAACTTTTGGAGATGCGCCTATCTGAAGACTTTACTGATTCTCACCTACCCATAAGGGTTGTTTTCATGATTTCAGGTCATTCATCACTTCAGATTGATTCAGGATTTTCGGATCACCTAACCGGAGTTTCGGGTAGCCTAACTTTTGGAGTTGCGCCTATCTGAAGACTTTACTGATTTTCACCTACCCATAAGGGTTGTTTTCATGATTTCAAGTCATTCATCACTTCATATTGATTCAGGATTTTCGGGTAGCCTAACCGGTGGCTACAGGGATTGTGTTCATGATTTTCAGGGCATTCATCACTTTAGATAGCTTCAGGAGTTGTCACCTACCCGAAGACTTCGCTGATTTTCACCTACCCGAAGTCTAGTGCTTTTCACCTACCAGAAAACTTCGCTGAGTGGAAAAGTCCAACTGAAATCATGAACTAAAAACTGCTTGGAACTTCACTATCTGAGAAGTCAGTGAAGTTTTCAGGTCATTCATCATTTCAGATTGATTCAGGATTTTTGGGTCGCCTTACCGGTGGCTAGAGGGATTTTTTTCATGATTTTCAGGGCATTCATTACTTCAGATTGCTTCAGGAGTTTCGGGTAGCCTAACTTTTGGAGTTGCGTCTATCTAAAGACTTCACTGATCTTCACCTACCCATAAGGAGTTTCGGGTAGCCTAACTTTTGGAGTTGCGCCTGTCTGACGACTTTACTGATTTTCACCTACCCATAAGGGTTGTTTTCATGATTTCAGGTAATTCATCACTTCAGATTGATTCAGGATTTTCGGGTAGCCTAACTGGTGGCTACAGGGATTGTGTTCATGATTTTCAGGGCATTCATCACTTCAGATGCTTCAGGAGTTTCGGGTAGCCTAACTTTTGGAGTTGCGCCTATCTGAGACTTCACTGATTTTCACCTACCCGAAGACTTCGCTGATTCTCACCTACTTGAAGACTTCACTGATTTCCACCTACCCGAAGACTTCACTGATTTTAACGTATCTGAAGACTTTGCTAATTTTCACCTTACAAGCATATACCTCCCACCCAAGTTTTGAAAAGACAGTTGTGAATGCCTCAACATAGTTTTTTTGGGTTGGGTGATATGAGTTGAATGTGTTGGTGAGAGTCATATACAACAGAATGTCACACTTCTGTTTTTTTTGTTGAATACATGACAACACCGACACACAAAAAATTCAGTGGGAGGAGAACTCCAACCCCCCACGTATGCGACTGTCTTCCCCACACGCGCATACATGCATAAGTGTTTTTCTCTCTCTGGACAGTGCGTGACATGTGTTCTCAACCCCTCAACCCCCCACGCACGCGACCCTCTCCCTCACACGCCCATACATGCATGTGTTTTTCTCTCGCTGGACAGTGTGTGACATGTGTCCTCAAGCCCTCAACCCCCCCCCATACGCGACCCTCTCCCCCACACGCCCATACGTGCATAAGTTGAAGGGGAGAGGGGACAGAGTCAGACGATGCACAATGAAGAAAATCGCAGTTTATTATAATTTCTGAAACGACATTTTTCCTACGGGAAGTGCTGCCGAAATTTCCTTAGTTTAAAAGAGTAAGATTATATTTAGACAGGTGGCGATTCTGGCGATCCACCCTGAATAGGGGAGATTCTGCTATTAGTCTACCTTTGCTTTGGACACTTGTTTAGGGGTAGACTTAGGCTTAGTTAGGTAGAATGATTCTTAAGTGAGATCGTGATATGAAAATTATTCTCCATAGACTTATAGATCTAGCTTGGGGATTGGTCTGTCATGTGTTACAGATCCTCTTAATCGATTGGTTCAGGATTTTGGGCTAGATTCAGCTTGATCCTACAAGGATCACCTTCTGTTATCACTGATTACAGGTCGCTTGCCGATTCGTCGTTTTACGACTCAACTCCAATCCATCCTCAATAATCAACCTAAAAGGTTTTAGCCCTGGTGATTTTATTGTTTTGTTAGAGTTTCACCCGGACTTTTATTGAATGGTCATTTAACAAAGGTACTGAGTATTTAATTATGGTTGGATGGACAGGAGGTTGGGGCTTGCATGGTTAAAGCGAGGGGTATGAGTGTAGAGGTTGGTTGAAGTTGACTCCGTGTAGTGCGTGGACTTT